GCTAATACAGGTGATTGTATTTTCTGCTAAAGCTTTGTAATCTTGAAGTTCTTGTCCAAGTATGGTGTATGTAAGGAACATTATACAGTCGACAAGATTAAATGAGTTCAGTAGTTATTATATGTGTATGTTCTCTGTAACCTTAGAAATACATTGTTTTTATCAAATAAACGCAAAAGCATCATGTGTTACTTCTACTTATATGGTTAAATGCTAGGTCTTATCATTTTCAATGAATTTAAATCTGTTCTATTTCGCCTCGAGTATTTAGTAAAGAAAACAAAAGACCACTAGCATTCTATCAGTTTTTCATCTGGTCATTCTATTTCTTTCCCAGGTTTATTATTGCTATCATTTTCCAGCTTCTTTGTTAGTCTTAGCCAAAGATGATCACTGCTTATTGTTTTCTTTTGATATGGTCAATTTTTTTAGCAATTTCCAGCTTCCAGTTATCGACATTTGTTACAATTATCTGTATGCATCTAATCTCTTTTCTTTTTCTTTCAGATATACTCCACATTTTCTCATACTTGCCTAGGGATCTGAATTTTCTTGAGCACTCAAGTAATATTGGTTATAAAGAGTGAGCATACTATCACTTGACTCTGATTTCATAGGATCTCTCTTTCTGAGACAAACAGATCTTGTCTTTGATGACTGCTGTTGAGTAACTTTCCGTTACCTATTCTGTTTTCTAGGTTTTCAAGGGTGAGACCTATTATAATAGACCCTGGTTTATATCATCTGAAGAAATCTGGCGTGTTCTGGGCTAAGGAGAAAAGATCTGTGCCTGCTTCTTTCAAGGTGTTTATGGGTACTGCTCGAGATTTGCTTCCTTTTCTGGATACACGCATATTATATGCATGCATAAGTGTGTTCTACATTGTAGTGATTCATTTTATTTTTTTACTCCACCGATAGATAATTGATTTGTTTTTGGGAAGGAAACTGGGAATAAAATAGAGATCAGTAATCATTTATTCATAAGTTCTCTTAAGGTAGATAGCAGAATAAAAGTGTCCTAGCGAGAAGTTTCTAATGAAAGATTGCAAGGGCAAATGAGAAAAACGCAGAGCTCTTAGGGCATGCTGCACGCAGAATAACATGCTTCCTACTGGTATTTAGTGTTAAATTAACAGATGTTGGACAATGATTACTTTGACGTAACTTGGATAACAAACTTCTTCACCTTTTTACGGCAGTGAGGAGGGGGGGAAGAAGGGATGTAGCAGCCTGAGTAGGGGGTCGTGGGACTAGAGTTCCATCATCTTATTTGAGTAGCCTTTTTAATTAGCCATTTTTCATCTTCTGTTGTGATCCCATTACTTGTTACCTTCTAATGCAAAACCCATGTAGATGTCAGGATACACAAATTTGGACTCGGAGAGTATATAGCTTTCAAGATGATTTTCCAACAGTTTTCTCATAAATGCTGTATATAATCAAACTAGGAGTGAGTTTGCTGGATCAGGAATCTGCTTTCCTCTTGATGATTTTGTATCAAATTGAGATTCTTGATGCCTTCCAGATTCTGAGCAAAATAATGTGGCAAAAAAAAAGTTGTGTAACATAGATGAGTTACGGCCGTTCTTTTGATGATTAATTGACACTTGTTTATGCTTTCCAACAATATATATATATATATATATATTAAGGAGCATATTCTAAGGTAGAATATGTGTTGAGTCCCACATCGGTGGGATGAGGAGAAATTGGTCTCTTGACAGGGTCTTGAGCAATCCTCACCTCTTGAACTAGCTTTCGGGCTTGAGTTAGGTCTAAGGTCCATAGCATGGTACTCGAGCCAGACCCCAAGATGTCCAGTACTAGGTGTGAGGAGGTGTTGAGTCCCACGTCGGTGGGATGAGGAGAAATTGGTCTTTTTATATTGTCTTGGGAAATCCTCACCTCTTGAGCTTGCTTTTGGGTGTGCTAAGAGATACTACTACTACTCAAATAGTCGTATAGCTCAATGCTAAAACTGTTAGCTCCTTTTTTCGTAAAAAAATGTTTCCCTAATAGTCATTTGCTGTTTTGTTTTCACTTCCAGGGTCTGAATGGGTGATGCTCTCAAGGCCATTCCTTGAGTTTTGTATTTGGGGTTGGGACAATCTACCGCGCACTCTTCTGATGTACTACACAAATTTCTTGTATTCTCTCGAGGGCTACTTCCACACCATTGTCTGCAATCACAAAGACTACCAGAACACGACAGTGAACCACGACTTACATTACATCAAATGGGACAATCCCCCAAGGCAGTATCCTATCAATTTAACACTCAAGCACTTTGAGGACATGATCCAGAGCGGTGTCCCCTTTGCTCGTACTTTTGCTACTGATGATCCAGTTCTTGATAAAATTGACAAGGAAATCTTAAGAAGGTCTCATGGCGTGTTTTCGCCAGGGGCTTGGTGTGTGGGAACTTCTTCTTTAGGTAAAGATCCTTGTATAGTTTATGGCAGTATAGATGCTGTCAAACCATCCGCAGGCTCAAGAAACCTAGAGAAACTTGTACTTAAGCTCCTTGATACTGAAAATTTCAGGTCAAGACAATGTAAATAAATTATACACACTTTTTTATTCCTATTGAAAATATTTCTTCTCTTTTTCATATTCTTTTTGCCTCTTTGCTTTGTATAATTATTTGGCATGATGAGAGTCCTTTTGTTTGTTATTTAGTTATATAACAACATATATACCTAATGTGTTCCATGAGTGGTTTGCGAAGGGCGGTGTATACGCAGATATTATCCCTATCTTGTAAAAGCTAAGAGATTGTTTTCAATAGACTGTTCAAGAGGTCCACCAAATGTTCGTATCAATAGGCTCACAATTACTCCATCTGCCACAACTCACAAGTTAAAAAATCTTAAAATTTATGTTACAATAACAACTTATTCAATGTAATCTCATAAATAGGGTTTGAAGAGGGTGATTGTATGCAACGTCACTGTTTGCGACCGACCTTCAGCTTATGTTTAGCATATCAAATTCATATAGAAAAAAAAACATATAAATAATAAATAAGTCACATCGAAATTAATAAAGAAAACACAGTAGCAATAACAACTAATATGATAATCGAAACAAAAGAAACAACATATTACAATAAATAAAAAAATAAGATAGTAAGAGAGTCATATTAATTATACTCCCTCCGTCCACAATTGTTTGACAGATATACTAAAAATAGATGTCCAAGATTAATTGTCAATTTAAACAATCAAGAAATAATTAGTCACTTTTTTCCAATTTTGCCCTTAATGATAGTGTAGTTCAATTGAAAAGTTATGTGAACTTTTGGTATTCTTGGTATTGTAGGGTTATATTAGTCAAATTACACCTTGTATTAAATTTTTCTTGAGGGATGTGCATGACCTTACCCTGACAAACAATTGTGGACGGAGGGAGTAGTAATTAGTAAGTGATAAGAAAAACTAGACAACACTAAAATAGCTGCTAACGTGTATATATATTCCGTAGAGTATATGTGAATCTCCTCTTCACATATTCAAACCATCTCAATATCAAACCGATCAACCGAGGGTCAAAACCGTAAAAGGCAGTAGAGAATGAAATAGCGGGAACACAAGCCTTTGACTTTAAGGTCGTGTTTAGTCAAACTGTCTGCTTTTTTTTTTCTGGTACTAATAATAATTGTCTTTTTTCGACCATTTTAGTGTTGTTACTGATTCTTGTCTTCAAGGACACTCAACTTTCAGGTTCTTCACTTTTTCTCCATTTTTATTTTTTTGGATAAATTATTCTAGGGTTTTTTTTGTTGTTTGAGATTGAAATTCAATTGTGAAATTTGGTACTTTTATATCTCAATTGCTTTGTTTTGTAAATTTTGTTAACAAAAAAGGGGAACTTTACTAAATTCAATTGCTTGTTGTTTAATTTGTAATTTCTGATTCTGTTACACAAATCGAGGTTGCATTTTGGATTTGTGAGTAGTAATGTAGAATTTTATGATGTAGTAACTGTTTCATAAGTTTTTCCAATCCTACTGTTTGATTAAATGGTAAAAAAACACACTTTTTTGCGAGTTTCACATCTAACTATCAGTTGTTTCCCTTTTTTTTTTTTTTTCTACTTGAACTATCACCGTAAAATACACCTTAAAACTATTTAGGCAAACTACTAGTTGTTCGTTTTTTTTACCTGAACTATCACCGTCTAGTCAACTAGGTGTGTTTTAATACGTAGATGTGTATAGTTCTGGTAGAAAAAGGGAAAAACTGATAGTTGGGGTGTGAAACTCATGGAAAAAATATGATAGTTCAGGTGTGTTTTTTACCATTGTCTTTTTTTTTTTAATTAAGCTTAAACGTTTACGAGTTGAAAGTCTCGTATACGGTTCTTAGAGGGGGGAGTTTTATGATTGGTATGAAGAACGTCTCGAGATTCAAGCAATTGCGGATGATATAAGTAGTAAATACATGTTCCTCCCCATGTCAATAGTTAAGCTTACTTGTTCTTTTAGTACAAGTAGCTACTGAGTTTGCTATGAATCTTTACTGTTGTCCAACCGTTATTGAGGCTTTTGTTTCGTATCTTCTTGCTTACAATTGCAAAGAATTGTACTACTGAGTTGTTCTGGTTGACCTATGAAAGCATCAGTCAATCAAACTGTACTGCATCAATCCCAAACAAGTTGGGATCAATTATATTTATCCTTTGTATCCTTGTAAAGGAGTATGTGAATTAAATTGGTGTACTAACTCGTGGACGCCATATTTTTTTTTCCTTTTTTTTGCCACAAGGAAATTTGCTTGTATGATGGATGGCAAAATCTCTGCAAGCACTATTCAAGGATTCAATCGGAGATGTTCCGAGGGCAAAAGTTCATTCCGAGCTACAACAGATTATGATAACAAAACTTTGCATGTTAACCAGCATGCTCAGACTAGGTGATTTAATTAACTGATGCTTTTCTTTCTCTTTTATTTTTCTATATGGTTATGAAGACCTATAAAAGGTTCTAATTCCTATATATTTTTCTGAAATTTTGTAAAGTGACACGGCAAAGCTGAAGAAAGGCTCAAAAATTGTCGGAGGAGGTCTAAGACAATACAGTATAATGGGTCGGTGATAATCTAAGGAATGCTTAATGTTCTATACATTATGGCCTTTTTTGGGTAATTCCTTTCGTTCTGGATAACGATTTCGATTTTTTCATTTTTAACTTGTCAATTTGCAGTTTGTAAGAAGGTGGAAGATAAGGGACGAATCACATACAGTGAGGTAAGTTTGACCCTTATTCTGCTAGACTAAATGACCTATACACTCGAAAAAGAGTCTCGCGAAGGTAGACCTAGTAGATATCTATCCTATACATCATAAGTACTCACACCTTCTCGGTCTTCACAACATTTCTATCTTCACTTAGTTTACTAAGAATTACCTCCTAGTATCTCTATTCTGCTGCATATTTGCTATAGCCTTTAAAGGATAAAATGACTGCTTGGATTATTGAACTTCAATTTATTGCTCGTTCAATGAAATGTTGCAATATTGAACATTATTCGTCATGCTTAAGAGAAAGCCCATATGAAAGATTACTTTTTTGGTAGAGAAATGGTGGTATTGAATCTTAAACTAGAAGAAAAACACTGTATCGCCATAGATATTTTAGGCGCTTACACAATTCATCCTTGCTAATGTGAAAACTTTCCTTTCTCCTCTTGCTTAAATATTTCTTGACTGATGATTGGCAAAGCTTATAGTTTATTCTGCATTGACATGCAGTTGAAAGTAAATTAGTGACACCGGTCTTGATTCTTGTTCTTCTTTCTTGATTTTCCTAGTATATGCATATGACATATAGATTATAATTCTTGTTATATAGGTTGCAGACGAAATCATAGCCGAGTTAATGACAATGGAAAACAGTTCCTCTGTTCCCCTTAATGAGGTTAAGTACAGATCTCAAGACGTCTATTCTTTCTTTCTCCGTCAACTATGATTTGAATAGAATGCTTTATAACCTTTCCAGTCAGATGAGAAGAATATACGTAGACGAGTATATGATTCGCTCAATGTCCTTATGGCCCTCGACGTTATCGAAAGAGATAGAAAGGAGATCCGCTGGAAGGGCCTTCCTAATTCAGATGCAAGGGACATGGATGAAACTAAGGTTAGCAGGTAGCTTAAGATTTAAAAATTTATCGTCATTTCTCACTATCTTTTGTATGTATGCATAAGGCTTAGCTTAAGATTTAAAGTTTTATGATCGTATGCTGATGGAAATCTTGGACTGTTTGAAAGCGGTTGCTTTAGTTGCTAAGGGTGAAACAGTAATTGTGTCAGATGCCTAAACTGCATTGATGAGCACAATGGCAGTTTAAAAGTATATATATAACTGATCCTAGATGTATAAGAATGCTTAATTCCTTGGCCTCATTGAGAAGCGGGCCTGCATTACAACTGATTCCCACATTTCTGTATAGACTCGCCGTGTCTTTAGATGATATTATATAACAATTCTGTACTTTTCCAGAAGGGGCATGCAGAGTTACTGGCGAAGATTGGGAAGAAAGCTGCATATCTGAAAGACTTGGAAGAGCAAGTATGTTCGTCTACTCCTTTTGTACTAATGTCATAATTTCTTCAAATCAACATTGAAGAAGCACTTCATACACCTAACTGAGTTGTTGCAATGATCTTTAACTTTCTGCAAATATTGGGAAAGCTTGCAAGTTTGCAAAATCTTAAGCTGCGGAATGAACAGTCGTGTAAATCTACAAATGGCCCTTCACAAGGATTCTCTTTGCCATTTATACTTGTTCAGGTATATAAGGCTTTAGTTTTTCCTCCGAAATTACTGCATCTACTTATTTACATGGTAGACTCTTTGATTATGCGATGATTAAAGTTAATGGTACTTAATTATATCTTTCACCCTCTAATTTACTACTTGTGTTATTCATATTGTACGAGTCCATTTTTTTTTGTCAAGTGGTGTAGGTTTATAATCAATTTTGACTCGTATCTTTTCATTTACTCGTTTGTATTAGTAGTGTTGTACGTTAATTCCCTTTAAGCCTTTGACAAACATTTTAGACTTGCAAGCAATTTTATAATGTTATTGATTTTTGTTTTTCATACTGTTCATGAGAATGATTTTGTTCCCTATCTTTCCAGTGATGTGTTATTATTTCCAGCTCTTTGGCTGAGCCACAAAGTTCACATAGAAATATGAAATAAATAATATTCTTATTAACTTCCAAAACACCTTCACAAGGTACGGGGACAAGGCTACACATACATCACCCTTCCCAGACCCCACTCGTGGGATTATACCCAACTGGGTATGTTGTTGTTGTTGTTGTATTTACTTCCCAAATAGTTTTGCGTAAAATGCATGTTGGTGTGGAATTTGCTACAAGCATGTAGAGTTATCACAGAAAGCATGAGTTAGAGTCCTGATTGGTGAGTGTTCGGAGTTGGAACCACCATTCGAACTTAAGATTTCCAAGACTGGAAGCACCCTACTTGTTTGACACATCACTTGCAGTTCACTCAGCTAGTTGTTTACTCCCTTCGTCCTAATTTATGTGTCACTGTTTGACTAAGCACGAAGTTTGAAAAAGAAGGGAAGACTTCTGAATTTTGAAATTTGTGGTCTAAATCAGTCCTTTAGGCATTGTGTGGCTATAAATCATTCCGGGGTAAACAAGGAATTAAGGTTAAGTTATATCTAATTATAGAAAAGTAATATTCTTTTCGGGACAAACTAAAAAGGAATGCGACTATGTTCATGGACTTTGGTATGGGCATGGGGGGTATGTATCGACGATCAGGTACAGGGCTTGTAAGTATCGTTATGGACATTTCCAGTGTGTAGCAAGCTGTTTTAGTATAACTTTTAAGGTTCTGTCCAAAATATTCACACCCACCTCATACTAATTTAACAAGGTTACCTCAAGACAAATGGATACTCCACGTTCACCATAATTATTGGAAATATATGCAACTTTCTGTTAACTACTCTTGAACTTCTGAGATGTTTATGACTACATGCCTATAATTTGCAGAGTTTCCCTTTAACTTACCAAAGAATTTTGATACGGATAGTAACCTTTCTGACTTTTTTCTTATTTGCCAAAATACTGATATAGACTGCTCCCCATGCTACGGTTGAAGTTGAGATCTCGGAGGATATGCAGTTGGTTCACTTTGACTTCAACAGGTACGTGAACATCTGCAAAGGCCAACTGATATTATATCATTTGGCATGTGATTAAAATTTTGTATACAGTAAGAATTTGTTGTCATCCTCATAGGGCCGATAATAGATTCTCCCCACAAAAGAAAGCATCTCTTTATCATGCAACCTGATTTTTGCATTGTTGTGCTAATTGGGTTAGAGTTGCAGAAAGGCGATTGATAGCAGAAGATTAAGATACTTCGTAGGTTGCGTAGGGTAGATCTCGTGGGAGGGGTGGTAGATAGTAGTGAATCTTCACCTTCAATTTTAGTTTGAACTTTTCAATAGTAAAAAAAAAGGGCAGCCTGGTGCATAAAGCATCATGCTTAAGCAAGGTCTAGGGAAGGGTCGTACCCCAATGGATGTGATGTAGACAACCTACTCTAGTGCAAGCATTAGTGACTACTTCCACGACCCAAACCCATGACCTATAGGTCACACGGAAACAGCTTTTTCCCGTTGCTCCAAGGCTTCCCAGCAGATTTTAACTTTTCAATATTTAGTCGATCCCTGCTGGTTGTGGAGGTCTATATTGGAACCTCAAAATCTTATGTCACATGGAAACCTATTGAAGATCATGTCCATGATCTTTGACGTTAAGTATAAATAGCAAGTTGGAATTTCAAAAACCTACCGAAGGAGGAGTTCAAATCTGGAGAAAGATGATAATGAGAGGAGAAAGGGGATGAATCACATATGTTTCTCGGACTCTTCAAAAGTGTCAACGAGTGCGTCTCGGAATCTCCAAAAGTATTGTATTTTTGGAGAATCTGACACGGATGCTGCATCAAAAGTGAAGAGTTTGAGTAACTTAGTGAATCATTACAGCTTGACTATTTATGCAAAAAACCATGTATCCTCTTCCGTCCCAATTTAGGTAATCCCATTTGGTTTGAATTCGATTAACAATGTAAGAGTTATATTTTATGATTTTAAATGAAAGTGTATCTAAAAATGAAGGTAATGTTGACTTCTTTTTGAAGAATTTAAACATTGTTTAGGAACTATTAGAACCATGAAATGTATGGAGAAGTGTTAATAGAGAGAATTACGGGACAATCCAAGACGAAAATAGTACCATTACATTCTTTTTCCTCAAGTCAAATCTTAGTTTCCCGACCATAAGTAGTTAGGATTTGCATATCGTTATCATCATCATCATCATCATCGTGAAGAATAAAAATATTTCTGTTCAATATTTCTGCATTATCTGTTGTAGAAATGCAGATTCAATTTATTAGCGTTTTCTTTTTCGAGTTCTTTCTAAACATGACTTCTCTTGTTGATACTTTGGCAGCGTCCCTTTCTCTTTGCACGATGATGCTTATGTCCTAAAACTGATGCGCAACTATGAGCTCTTAGAGAGTGAAAGTGTATCTCGAACATCCTATACACACTCATCGTGTCATCGTGTAGCTAGTCCTGATGTCGCTTCAGGAGGCAGCTGATCATTTTACTGGAACTCTGGAACTGACATATCTCGAATGATACTTTGTCAATCGACGTAGAGACTCCAGAACTCGTCACGGAGTATTTGTACCTAACAGGATACATAGTCATACATGGCATTTACACAACTTATGTAGAAGTTAAAGAGCTGGTATTCATCTTTGTTGTATTTTGCAAACATCTAAATAGGCTGACACCATGCCTTTGTTAGTTTTCTGGAAAATGGTGGTATAAGATTTTGGTGAATAGAAATGTTCTTATTGTATCATATGTTTTCTTTTGGGTACATCGAATGCTATTTAAATTTGTCAGTAAATTTTATTTAGACATTTGGATTATGGCTTGTTCCAATTGAGTAGCCTAAATACACTATAAGTGTTCTTATTAAACACTTTCAGCTCTTATCACTGGTCTTTAACGGCGATTAATTAACGACAATAGCTTAATTATCACTAAATATGTACTTTTTAAGGCAATTAACACTCTTGTACATGTCTCTAAATCCTATAGCGACATTAGATCCAATGATAATTAACTAATATCGGTAAAAGTTTTAGTTCTCTTTATTAAAATACATATTTATTGTTACTAAAAACTGTTCTCTCAAGAAAATAAAAAAGTAAATACAAAATTCATAAGACAAGAACTGAATTTCTTTTTCTTTTTCTTTTTTTTTTCTTAAAAGAAGTTTCTGAATTAATAGTGTTTTTTGTTTACCACACTGCTAAGTTGCTTAGCCCAAGAGACCTTTGAAAATTATAAAATGTGTTGTAACACTTAACTTATCACACTGTCTGATTCTTTTTCACCTTTTTAGAATGTGAAAGTGGGCTCCTTCTCTCTATTATATTCATTTTTTATTATCTAATATTGGTAGGTAAAGCCTATAATTTTAATTATTTATTAATTAAAAATACTGCCATGCACAGCAGTAAGAGGGGGGGGGGGGAGGGGTAGGGGTGGGGGTGGGCGTAGAGGAAAGCACATTTGAGAATGTTTCCCTATAATAAGGACCTTTTCTTTAATTAATTAATTCTTAATTTGGCTTTATTACTTTTATTAGTATTATTTTATATATCTTAAAAACTTACACTATGTTACTCATCTTATATGTAATATAGTCTATGCATGTAAATGATTGAATTGTACATTTATTGTCATCTTAGGTTACTGGTTCGAGCAGTACGCTCCTCGGTTTTATTTAGTGGCAGAGCTCATGTTATGAACGAAGATTAATGAATTACGTTTGTTAAAAAATTATACAGTATATATTATATTGTTGAATTTCTCGATAGAATTTTGTTAGAATGCTGACTTTGTCACTATCCTAAACCCTACTTTTTCAAAGAGCACTTTGATGTTAATATTGTATTTGATGTCCTTAATTTGGATTAGAAATTAGTCAATTGACTAATACAGTAAAGTTATATAGCACTAGTATTATATAAGTACCTAATTTATAGCTAGTTATTAATTGAGTACAAATTCATGCAAAAATAAATTGTAGTATTAATATCATGAATATAAGTTAATAAAAACTAGAAATTAAAAGTGCATGTTATTTAACAAAAAATTATAAAGTGTTACGGACACATTTAACTAAATCTCTCTACATATATATCTTGTTCCAAACATGTATCCCATAATAACACTACTTTACCCTGCATGCAACATGATAGAATATGACAGCCACCACATTATATATAGGAGCGGAATCAGTCTTAAAGTTATGAGTTTTTAACATAATATAATAATTTTAATTCAAATTTTATATTTATATTCAATTTTTTATTTAATATATATAAATAATTCATCCAAATATCTTGTAAGCCAACAATTTTTTTTTTGACTCAATACACATAAACTAAAAAAATCCAAGCCCCCTCCCCCCTTTCCTTACCCCCTCTTTGTCTTAAAGGTACAAGTTCAACATAATATAATAATTTTAATTCAAACTCTAAAACTATATTATAATTTTTATTTTATATATATAAATAATTCATCCAAATATCTCGTAAGCAAAACTAGAAAATCCAACCCCCACCCCTTCCCTCTCTATATATAACAAAGTTGTCTCTGTATGATCTATAGGTCACGGTTATCGTGAAAATAATTATTCATATTTGCATAAACATAGTCTGTCTACATGACACCTCTTGGAATAATATAACCCTAATTTCCTAAACTCTGTTTACATAAAATATTTTGTGTATCAGATTGCATCACTAACCAAAGTGGGGTGGGTGGGTGGGTGGGGGGTTGCAACTCAACAAGTTTAATTTAATATAATAAGAAGCTTAAAGGTTAAGAAAGTAAAGATATTACTAGTACTACTACTACCACCCCTCTCTCGAACTACTAAAAAGTAACAAAAATACAAAAAATGGGACATAATAGTAAGAACAAACCATAGGTTATAATGTGTAGTAGTATATATATGCTACTAAAGCCTTTCACTTTATTTTGAGCTCCATTATTATTCTCATCAAAAATATTCCTCTCTACTTTCCTTTTATCTTTCTTCCTTTCCCTTTGCCAAAATTGAATACTACTACTACTGCACCTTCAAATTTTTTTTATGTGATTCTCCACTAACAAAAAACTTTATAAAAGAGAATTTTTATAGATCATATTCAAGAATTTGCTATGAATTTTTCTTCAATTCCAGCTTATCTTGATCCAGCCAACTGGCAACAAGTATGTATTTAATTTTTTTTTTTATGCTTTTATCAAGTGTTTCTTTGGCAAAAAAGCATTAAAGATAATATTCCTCACTCTTTTTTGTAATTATTTTTAAAAATTCTTCCTTTTTTTCTCATCTTTAAATTTCTTGCATATACTTAGATATATAATTATTCTCATTTTTTTTTTGTTTTCAGCAAAGTGGAAGTACTATCCAAAATCATCATCAACAACTTACATCTGCACCACCGCCGCCAGTACTACCACCTCCTCCAGTAGTAGTACCACTGCAGCCTCATGGCGGCGGTGGTGCAGGTTCTATTAGACCGGGCTCGATGGCTGATCGAGCCCGGATGGCTAACATACCTATGCCTGAAACAGCCTTAAAATGCCCTAGATGTGATTCAGCAAACACTAAGTTTTGTTACTTCAACAACTATAGTCTCTCACAACCTAGACACTTTTGCAAGGCTTGTAAAAGGTAATTTATTATTATTTATTATGAAGAAAAATACATGTATTAGCTAGACGAGCTAAAATATATTATTTTAGTTTTTATGAGAAAATGATTGATTGAGAGTACTTCTCCTCGATATTTTCCAAAATATTTCTAACAGGTACTGGACTAGAGGTGGCGCTTTGAGAAGTGTACCCGTGGGTGGAGGATGCAGGAGGAACAAAAGAAGCAATAACAACAACAAGAACAGTAACAACAACAATAACAATAATAATAGTTCTAAATCTCCGGCTTCTAGTACTAGTACTGATGGTCGTCAAGGTACTAACAACTCGGGTTCTTCAACTACAATTTCATCTCATAGTAACAGTTTTTCGGGTCCAGCATCAGCAACTAGTTTGTTAGGGCTTATGAGTCCTCAAATTCCGCCTCTTCGTTTCATGTCTCCTTTAGGTCAATTTAGTTCTGATCATCACCACCACCACCATTTTACTCCGAGTAACCATATGAACTTGAATTTTTCTACAAGTTCATGTGGTAACATATTAGGTGGGACCACTGAAGGCATGATGGTTAATAACAACAATATGCTTGGTTCTGGTGCTGGTGCTGGGGTTGGGGGTCATGTTGCTTCGCTTTTATCAAGTGGAAACCTTGAACATTGGAGGATGCAACAACAATTCCCTAATTTCTTAGGTGGATTTGATCCATCTAATACGCCTTCTTCTTACCCCTTTCAAGGGGGGGTGCACGAGGCAGTACAATACCTTGGTGGTGAGAGTACGAGTCAAATTAGTAGGCCAAAAATCTCAACCTCAATGCTAAATCAAATGGCTTCGGTGAAGATGGAAGACAACAACAACAATAACAACAATAATAATAATCAAGATCAATCAGCTTTATCAAGGCAATTGTTGGGGATTCAAGGAAATAATGAAAATTGGAACACTAGTGCTAATGCTTGGAGTGATCTTTCAGCTAGTTTTAGCTCTTCTTCCCCTAGTAATGCCTTATAGTTATTGAAATTCGAGCCAAATCTTATACTATCTTCTTTTATCACTCAGCGGTCATTCAGAGGTCTTAGCTAGTAATCTGAATTGTCTCACTAGTCAATATGTTTTATCAGCAAAAGCATCTAGTGAACATGAAATTAACCCGGACAATGGGAACAAAAGAATATCAATCGATCATCTGAAAACCCTAGATTTGGTAGTTCTTTTTTTTTTTTCAAGTGTTTTATTTAGATTTATTTGTAGTTTGTATTGTAATGTGTTAGAACATGTTTGGAGTGAACTTTTTTTTGAGTTTTTATTTTATTTTTGGTAGCTTTTGTGTAGACATGAAGGTCTAATTTTCAATGTAATTTGGTTCTAGGTGTTGGGCTGTAAAGATGATCATATGGCTAACATTTCTAATGGTATATCATCTTCATGTTTGAAATTTTATGGAGTTTTTGTATTTTCAATATTATGTGTATATTTCATATGGTGATATATTGTTTAATTTCTTCCTAATTCTCTCATTATTACTACAACATTTTCTTCTTGGATTTATTATTGCTTGGTTTAATCCAAGTTAATTTATCCTAATTATGAATATATTGATGAGGGTTTAGATATTCATAAATGTTTATTTTCTAGAAATGAATTAATTATCCATGATATGATAAAGCAATGTTGTTCAAATATTTACATGATTAAAAAAAATCTCACTTGGTAATTACATTTGGATTAAACTTAATTAAGAAATGGATGTCAAGATCAACCAATTTGGATGTTGTAATTTTCCCACTTTAATATTCAAGCTGCTGCAACTTAAAATATAGCTTTATAATGGTAATAGTATAAGGTTTAATTAATT